TTCGAATTGTGATATTTGTTTTTAAGCGACCCAACGGAAGTTTATTGCAAAATGCGGCCATATCTCCGGCTAGGAAGGTCGTATCAACGTGCTCCCGTCTCTAGCACCCCCGCAGCCCGAGCTACGAGTGANGGAACGCCCTGAACTCGAGCCGAGGGCGTCCACAAAAATAAATAATTAGAGAGAGGATCAAGAGTTTTTATCGCTTGAAATGACGAAAAGGACAAGGACGCCCCCCCCCCCGCTCTCGGGGTGGACGCCCGTCCTTGTCCTTTTCGTCATTTCAAGCGATAAAAACTCTTGATCCTCTCTCTAATTATTTATTTTTGTGGACGCCCTCGGCTCGAGTTCAGGGCGTTCCGAGCTGAATAAGGGCGTCAAGACGACCCCCTGGCGGAAACGCTGCACCCACGGCCCTATCAGAAACGTTGCTATCAGAAACAATGCCCGACTGTTTTGGACGTAATATGGTCGGTGCATGTTTACATTAGCATCGCTAACACAACAGAGCTAACCTGTACTGCACAGAGCATGTGTGTGAAGAAGCAGGAAATAAAAAGGACCTGACCTTGTGGTATAACCGGCAAGAGAGACAGCCTTTGAGCTCAATACTGTTTCAGAAAGAATCCTTGATAATCCATGATATGGCGTATCATCACGGCAGAAACTTCCGCATCTGCTCAGACCTCTCCTTTTTTTTTTAAAGCTTTAACATAATACAAAATGTTTTTTTTATTGTATTAACTGCATCAGTAGCAAAAGTGCAAAGTGTTATACCTTGCTTTATTGATGACATTTACCATCAGCAATGGTCTTATGGAAAAGAAAGTAGCAGAACATGTTGCTGTTAGGTAAAAGGACTGTAAAAATACTCTGTTCAGTACAATTCCTGCATTTAAAATGTAACCTATTGAGGGGAAATTAAACTAAATAGATATAATTCTTTTTTTCTCTCCAATTAATTAACTTATTGTCTCAACTGTACTTGTATAGACTTATTGATAGTTACATTTTTTGACAAAACATCCAATTTTAGAGGCTCTTCTGTGTTTTGTAATTAACTGCAGTGAAGTAAAAAGCACACCTTTTCCCCTTTAGAATGTAATGAGGTAAGGCAAATTGTGTCATATAAAAAAAATATTCTCGTAAAGTACAAGTATGTAAATGTTTTACGGTTATTGGTAAAGTTAAACTGGGACTAGTTTCACCCTAGCGCATGTCTAAATCAGGATCTTTACACTGTATTTCTACCTGATGCTGAGCCAGTTTGGACATGAATAGAATACTTGATAGATATCATAGGAACAGTAGGAGATAGATCACCTATGAAGAATGGAATGCCGGTCTTTAAAGATATTTAGATATTGCAATAACTGCGGTGAACTACAGTGTGTAGCGGTGAAAAGCAGTCACAGAAATGCGGTTGGAATCAGGGGCTTTTTGTAAGCAAGACATGTACAAAACTTTCACTTTTCACAACTCTTTTTTTAACCAAAGTTACATCACCTCCACACAGGGTTTCAGTGTTTCCCTGGACAAAAACTGGAGGAGGTTGGGTGCATGTTGTCATGGAGGCACAGCACACAGCACACTTTCCCTGCTCACAATACACCGTCCTGCCCACCCAGAAAGCCCAAACAATGAAGCCACACTAACCCCATCTTTTGTGGTCCTCCCATGTCTCAGTATGGCTGCACCTCATACACCATCTCTGCTCTTATAGGCATTCACAAAATACATCTTGTTTAGTTGCAAACAAACAACATTTACATAAGCTGACATATACATTTAGAATAAGCAGTGAGCACTTCCTGATGTTATCATGCCTTTTCTCATCTTTGTTATGATCTATCACTGACGGGGATAAAAAAAATGCTTGCAAGACATACTGAGTGCTCCAAGGAGAATAAAGGAGAGTAACGACAGGGAAAGTATACAGTAAAAAAACATAAAGCAGACATCAACAACAATAGCCTAACAGAACAGGCAACTCCAGTAGCATTAACAGGAGTTAGACAGACAATAGAGAAGCCAGACGAAAATAATACTTCTCCTGAGAACAATAGTTTCAGACAGGTTTTATATTCACATCACATTAAACCTCTGCAAAGACGTTCACAGCCCCATAGCGACTATTGCTCCTCTAAATTAAGTTTTCATCAGACACATTGAAGATAACGAGCCTTTGCTTGATAATATCATCAGGTCTTATCAGTGCTAACTAAACAATGACTTTAAAAATAAAGAATGCAATCGATAGAGGACACATAGAAAAGCTCTTACCGCTTTAACTTCAGTATTTGTGGCCGCTTTATCGCTTTTATATTCCTTTTTTCTGATGATCAGTCTCGCGTCTCACTGACACAAATCTCGACCTCACTTCCATGTGCTCGCGACCAGGACCACGCGCTCAGGGGAGCGCTCTGGATATGGCGCGTGACGTCACGGCGAGACTGGAAAGCTGGTCGAGAAATCCGTGCAATATCAACAATAATACAAGGAGGATATGTTATAAACAAGCCTATATAACACATACGATATCGTATAAAGACTTTACAATGTGTGGTTCTTCACTTGGTGGTTATCAAGAGTTGTTGTCGCTATTATTGATACATCTACCAGATTCCTTCCAAGACATATTTGTCTACTATTTAGCAATGATATAGTATTGACAAGAAACACACACATCTATACAGTTTAGTCTGAACAATCCTACATCTGTGTTTGCAACTGTAAAGCAACATGTTTTGAGTGCACTTGGACTAAAATATGATCTGAGAATGTAGTAAGTAATTTTAAGATTTCAGTTTCATTGCCAAAGTAAGTATATTTTAACCATAACATAAATATTAATAAGCTTTCAATGTACTTACACTTTGTTCCAAGAAGATGTTCAGGAAAACATCTGTTTGCATCAATCTAGTGCATATTGAAAGCAAAACAGTTCTAATTGATTTAACAAAATCCCCTCTTAAGTACAAAATATGTGTAATGACACTAATTAGTCATATGTATGTGTGTGTGTGTGTATATATACACATTATTGGATTGTCAACAAGCTTTTTCTTAAATTCAAATTGTGCCATAGTAACAGATTACATATTTTCATGCATTATTCAGAAACCATGGTTTTAGCTTACCTTGGCTGTATTCTTTATGACCATTCACAAGGCCATTGTAACTTGTATCAAGGGAAGATATTTGTCATTTTAGCCCCAAAGGTACTTGATTTTTTGATTAAAAGTAGGAAGAGTGACTGTCTATGCATCATTACACCCAAACATGAGCATCTGGTCCAAGTCTGACACTTCATTTAAATCATGCATTTGTTTATTTGGCTTCTATCCTTCTGAATAACCCACACTACAACATGTACCCCTAGCCCCAGAACATATTAATGTGACGAAATGTGTGATGTGTGTTTGCATTGCAAGAACAAGGACACAAATTCAAGAAGAAACATCTTTTTATATTTCAAAAAGAATCTAAGAACATAATGAAAAACCAAACACTGGGTCTGAACATCCAGACAATTGAGATCCAAAAATACATTTTCTTAGGAAATATTAATTATATACAAAACATAAAAATGCATATTTTAGTTTGGGCTCTCAACAGAGAAGCTCGATTTTTTTTATATTTTATTAATAAAAATAAACTTTTAAATATGTATTCCACCCATAACTTCAATTGAGGCAGTTTGAATATTGAAATCAAACAAGATTTCAAAACAATTTAATCCGCTTTGCATTTGCATGCAACAACAACAACAACAACAACTGTACACCCTAAGTCTTGAACTTGCATAAAAAACAAAAAAAAGGCCAACAAGTCTATGATGATTTCAACTTTAAGTGCGAGAGCTCTGCAGCTGTGAGAGTCTCTGCTTTAGAAGTTCACTTTTCCTCCTCAGCTGTTCTTTTACTGAGAGGAGTCTCTGTTCGTCTGATTGCATGCTGTAGATGCACTCTGTAGCTTTCTTCAGGATCACCACTTTGGCAGCCTTTTCGTTGTTCGCTACCTCGGGGATCTCGTCCCTCAGGGCAAAGAAGCTCAACTTGAGCTCGTTCCTCCTCTGACGCTCCAAAACATTATGAGTCCTTCTCTTGTCATAGTCCTCCGTGTCAGACGTCCGTGGGCTTGAACACTTGCGGTTGCTGCTGATCTGTTTGAGGACCCTGCTGTGGCCAACCCCCCCACCTCCACCGTTGTTACTGCTGCTGCTCTCCAGCTTCAGCCTCTTGACAGCCGGCTGCTCGTGCCTCATGGATGGATGGGCGGCGTAATTATGCTGGTGGGTGGAGACGTGGCACCTCTTCAGCACGAGCGGACTGGGATGCCTGGACTCTGTGGGGCTGGGGTCGCACCGCTTCACCGCGTGCCTCTTCTCCACTGTCACCACATCGATCTCCTCCTCTTCCTCCTGGTCCTCCTCCTCTTCTTCTTCTTCTTCTTCCTCCTCCTCATCATCGTCTTCATCATCATCTCCATCATCATCATCATCTTCTGCAACAACAAAAAAGATCAAAACAATCACAATCTGAATCATTCATGCTAGAGTGGAAATGGAGGGAGTAACCCTTCTCTAATCTCACAACAGACAACAACATGTGTGGAACAGGCAGCATGTCTACCTCCTGCATGGATCACATTAATAAACACAAGCATCCTTCATATCAAACTATAATCTTTGCACACAGACGGAATTCCTAATTGCACAGAGGGGTGTGACAGCATGATGTGTTCAAAGCTTACCTGAGTCACTACAACTGCTGCTGCTGCTGCTGCCACTGTTAGGCGGGGTGTCCAGTCCCAGATCCTTACTAGGGAGCGTCCCTGCACTCTGCTTCGGCGTCTCTGCTATCGGGTACGGGAACACCACAGACGGATCAATGCACTCTGACGCGGCTGTGTTGAGGTCTTGCAGGTAGCTGCTGTTTAGCCTCCATGCTCCGGTGGGCTCCGGGCAGTCCCCGGACACGGACTCCTTCCGTGCGGCGTGCAGGGAGGCTAGCCGCTCGGAGACCACCTTCTCCAGCTTGGCTGCGGCGGAGAAGCCGCTCCACATGCAGTCCTGGATGATGATAGATTTAAGGAAGGTCTGGGAGTAGTCCGCGTCGCAGATGATGCTCTGGTTGACCACGTCGTCGCCCAGAAACTCGGTCACCATTTCCAGCTGATCCGCCGTGGAGGGGAAGAGGCTTGATAGGGACGGCCGGCGGCTCGGGGAGAGGGGAGGGGTCGGCAGCAGTTCAAATTTCTTCCAGATGTCCTCGCTCGGTGCCGGAGGCTGGAGCTGCTGAGGGTAGAAATCCTCCTCCTCGTTGTCATAGTAGAAATACGGTTGAAGAGAGTCGTAGTCGTAGTCATAGTTTTTACTCGCCAAACTTGAATTCAGCGGCATTTTGAATGTGTTGTCTTTTTCCTTATCGTGAAGCTGATTGAAAGAAATAGAAATAAAGGTTGATTAGATGTTGATTCTAAAAAGGTCTACAGGTTCAATGCAGCTGCTTGGCACTGATCCTGCTCTGCAACATTAAGTGCAACAACATCACATGGTCACTCCAAAACATGGACCCTCTTGTATTCGCCACTGCAGCAGCAGGTGCTCAACTGGGAAACTGATAGTAAATTAAGTGCAAGAGGGGGGAGCCCCACCTTCAGTTAACTGCTACTGATGATAAACTAGTACACTTTTGACTAAACTGGTGTGAGAAGTTAACGTGCAATCTCCAGAAACCCAGTCAGCACCTTACCTTTTAGATAGTAAACTCTCGGCGGAAAAAGACGAGGCGAAGTCGACCCAAAGGGCGCAAAAAAGGGCAGGAAAGTTATTCCAATTCGAAAGTAACATTAAGTCCTTCCACGTAGGTGTTGCTGGTGGTTTCTGTGAGGCTGTCTGAAGCATGCATGGGGAAATTGAAAGGCTGCACCAGCGACCCGGTGAGGACGACGCACTGTCTGTCATCAGCAGCGTGAGAATCACAGCTGAGAGCTTCGCCGCCTGCAATAAAAACGACCCGACCACTCCCCCTACTCATCCGCTGTATCCCTCCGCTCGTTTTCCCGCGAAACACTCGCCGGCATTGAAAATCTTACACAACCTCAAAATAAATAATTGCATGCTTTTATCCCCGAAAATTATTCACACACAAAATAAAGATGTATTTAAACTTGAAACACGTGATTTCATTGGTAAAGTTAGTTGCTAAATGATATATTTTCTTTTCACAACGGCTCTATTTCGGCGAAGATGAAGTGGGAGGGGTCATAGTAGAGTAGAGCTTCCATTGACGGGAGACATGCAAAAAATACTAATGCAAGTAGTAGTAGTAGTAGTAGTAGTAGTTGTAGATAATTAGGAGGGATTGTTGCACTACTATACCGCCTTAAATATTAACACACCTCTTAAACTGTTTCTTTAAGTCTGTTGCAAATGTTGCTCTCATTGTAGTTATTTAAACTGATTTATAGTAAATGAATTTGCATGCTTTTGCACAAAGCATAACTTTGTTTTTCCAATCCTCATTGTAAGTGAACCTGCAAAGATTCAATACATTGCAAATGTTGACAGCTGTTTGTACAATTTGTGCCTGCAAAGCTCACAGGTGCAGGGGCTTATCTAGATCTGTCTGCAGGCTTTTCCACTGACAGCTCTGAATTGGCTGAAACAGGTGAATTCAACAATCAAGCTTGTGGGGTAATGTATAAATGAATCAATTAGAAATAGGGTGTGTGGGATTCTGACAATGTATTGTAGCTCGGGGTTTTTAGGCTGGACATATTGGCACCAATTAACTACAGGAAGGAAGCAATTAAAGGGATCAGATCGGTACTGCAATTGGGTGGTAATGCCCTCCTCTGATGTGATAGGGGTGGAGGGTTGGACGGGCTGCGAGCGCCCTCTGCTGGGCAAATTAATATTGGACTGCAGCCAGGTAGGTGCAAGGTCAAACCTCGGATGTGAACATAAAGTCCACAAACCATCCTTAAAGTGGGAGATTATTGACTAAATGCAAATTAAAGAGAGATTGTTACGTGTAACACCAACACTACATGTGGCTTATTAACTAATAGTGTTGTGCAGTGGGTTAGTAGAGATTTAAATTGGGGTTACTGGGTCACTTCATTAAAAATATAATGAGTTCTGGAAACGACAAGAGCATTTTGATAAAGTAGCCTGCGCTATAAATAAATATACTTTATAAAATCTACATCAACATGTTTGAAATGATAAGCCTACTCTAAGACTCCACACTTGGCGTGTCGTTGACTTTAATTAAATGTATTATTTCAACGGATTTCACATAACTGTATCAAGCAATAATATTACATTTGAAACAAATTATTAAGTTCAACTTAATATTATTGTTTTCAACTAACCTACTGCAGTTATGTGAAATCTGTTGACATACCACATTTAATTAAAGTCAATGTTTCAGCTTTTCAGTGTAAATGCAACTTGTAATTGCTTTATTGAAGGTTTGTTTTTTTGTTTAGACCTTTTTTCAATGATTTAACAATGGTAAAGATAACAACAAGGAGTTTATAAGTGTCTACAAGTTAACTATTAACCAATACTGACTGACCTTGACTTATTGATGAGAACTCTTTTTGGTGTTTTTAGGTTTTCATCTCAACCAACAAGGATTAACTAACAACATTTTTTTCTTAGCTTTCAAATGAAATGGTATATCCTTACAGGATAGAAAAGGAGAGAAGAGAGATTTCTGATCAAATCCAGAGGACGTGGAAAAGAACACCCAAACTATAATTACACCCTTCTCATGTCCTCTGTACTCATTCCTTCATCCTTTCCCTCCCTTCTCTCCTTTCCTCACTCTGGGATGCTGTGAGGAGGATAGCGATCACAACCGAGTCATGTGTTGTGGTCATTATGTTTATCGGCTCCGGATGTTTCTTGTGTTACTGTGTTTTCAGAGCGTCCCAAGACACAGAGGGAAGCTTTGAGACTGGCTGGCATCATTTCCTCCGATAAGTGGAGGCTGAAGGTGCTTGGTAGAAATGTGATTGTGGGTTTTTTCTTTCAGTAAAACTGGTTCTTCCGCTTTTGATTGACACAATCTTTAGACAGTATAGTGCAAAGGGTGTTTTAACAACAACATTTAATGTTGATTATTTGGCAAAGGATTATCAATTTACTGTAGGGAAAAACAGCTGCATAAAGTCATCGTACATTAGTTTAATATAAGTGCCTTATCTGCTATAGGATAAAAGTACACCCCCGGGTGCTGATACTGCTGGTAATGTTGAAGATCTGGATTTGATGAGGAAATGGGAAGAAGAGAATGCTGAAGATCTGGTTTTGAGAAGATGTGGTATTTAGATTAGCTGATGAAAGGAGGTAGATGGGCTGGAGGCGGCCGCAGCATAAACACCTGAAATCACAGCTGACTGCAGGACAGAGGAAAACAATTTTAAAGTTTGACTGCAGCGCGATGATTGGCTGCTGGAGATTGTGGTGGAATGTAATTGGTTAAAAGAGAATGACCATAATGAGCTGATTATATGCAGCTGAACACAATGACAGAGGCTTTGTCAGAAATCAATCTTTATTTGCTAAGTGCAATATATTTACTAAATTATACTGAAGTGTTAAAAACATCTATGTAATGTCGTCAAAAAGTCAGGAGATGAAACAAAGAATTTGATATCCACAGCATCTACACTATTAACCAACAAAGCAATGTCCCACTTTGATATATCTCAACAATTCCTTGAGTCTAAAACTATGCCACTGAATTTTCTACTGATAGTTAAAACAATTACGATGTATAAGGGCCTTAAATAAAGTAAATAATAGAGTGTTACAGTAAATGTGAAAATTACATGCAAAGAGAAAGCCAAAACTAACTACTGTATTCTCACACAAAGGAATATTTCACTCTCATTTTGTTGCCCTTTTTATGAGAGAAACTAAAGGATTTTGCATATGATATAAGCCTGCATGAAACAAAACTGATTTGCAGATCTCTTTTCTATTAAACACAAAAATAGATAAATAACTGTTGAATGATTCACGAGAGCTCTTCCCTATGCCCTTCCTGTCGCCTCCTTGCTGAACTTCCTTAATTTCTGACCACAAATCCAACGTCCTGTGTTGTGTGGTTTTATAAAGCATATTCAGCATACAACACACTTCCTCTTCCGAGCCTCGTGTGAGGTGATGCTATCATGCGTTTATAGGTTTGCACCATTCATGTGGCAGCATATACACACATCTGCACGCTAAATAAATGTATACATGCAGCCTAACACATGAGCAGACACATATAGAGAGAGTGTGCTGTTTCTCAGGACACAGTTCAGCATGATGCCTGGGTATGAGGCAGGAAATCAATATCTGCTCAGCTTAGAGAGTAAGAGGAGGATGCCAACTAAGCAATGAGAGCACGGTAAATCTGTCAGACTACTCAGGAGCTAATTGTGTCATTAATTATTGACAGTGACAACAGGCAGTTATTGACATTGCCTTTACAGCAGCTACATAACGTGCAGTTTGAGCATACAGGGCGTTTGTTGTAACACAATCAAACAACATCAAATTGAAATAGAGAAGAGATATAATGTTTAAACAAGTACCATAAGACAGCTTGGATTTAAATGAAAATATGGCATGTATTAGTATAACAAGATATGAGAAATGCTATCAATACCTCTTAATTGTAGCCCTAAATAATGTTGTTTCATTTGACCATGTCTGATCTTTTATGATGATATTGTAATATCTTGTTGTATGAGAGTAGTCTACTGTAATGTGTCATGTTTTCTATACTGCTGGTAGAATAAAAAAACGTAGATTTTTTGATGCACTTATGACGATGAGAAATTAGATTTATTTAGATAATGAATATTTTAGTTTCCTTATACCAAAGGATAGATGGAATAGCTTGTGAATATAAATAATATTGTATGCGTCTTTACCGCAAAGAGCATGGGTTTTACTGCCTTACTGCATCTATAATGGGTGATTGTTTATGGGGGTAATAAATAAAGTTGTGGTTTAGCTGTGTAGAGGTGCAGTACAGGATAGGGTTGTGGTGAGGTAGGGCAGAGCTTGGGTTGTAAATTGGTCGGACACAGATGTAAGCTGAAAAGAAGGAAATTGGAGGGAAGAGCAAGGCAAATACACTTAAAGGGAAGTGTTAAGGGCACCCAAGGGTATCCTTACAAATGTCATTTGTTTCCATTTTTAGTATTTGGAAATGTGTTCTGCAGCAGCACATGTACTGCTCCATAGTGTGTAAACAACATAAATCCCCAGTGAGGAGAAACACCTGGAAAGTGAAGAGATGAGTGATGAAGGGCTACAGGAGAGGCAACCTGACCATGTCTCAGCATTCTTCCCTCTCTTTCTGCATTTTACACAACTAACATGCATGGTGCCAACTCAGGATCGCCTGCTTAATTTGATGCTACTTTTTAATAATTTGATGAAGATTGAAAATGATGTCACAGGAAGAAAGACACGTGGACATTTAAACTCCCTGAAAAACAGCTACAGTAATCTATCAGGACTGCATTAAATGTCTTGTGAGGATGAGTTTTCTGTCCACTTTGTGATGTTAGTCTTAAGAGAGCTCATAATGACAGCATCAGTTATTCCAGGTGGTGCTAAAAGCTGTTGGTCCCTGACATGACCACTAGAGGGAGTCTAGTATGACTTAGTTTAAACCTATTAAAAACTTTGATTTACTGGTTTGTAGTTTCTTTTCAATTTAATGTGGGCCAATTAACAAAGTATTATTATTACAGTTATTCTTACTGAATTTGCTTGTCGATAACGCCAATTTAATTGTATGTTACTTCTTCACATCTATATGATTTTATTCCATCTTAGTTTGATTGTTTTTATTGATCAATGATTTAAATCAGGGGTGTCCAAACTTTTTTCCCCGAGGGCCACATACAGAAAAACATACGAAGGGCTAGGCCGCTCACTA